CGGGCTACGTCACGATTATAGGGGGGGACGTGCTGGATTCCATAAATATAATTAACGATTTATTAATCAAACGGCTAAGTAAATGAGAACGGGAATTAACAGCAGAGTGCAACGAAACAACGTTATTCTAATCTCAAATAAACGAAGTGCAGTCCGCAACGGCAATGAATTCGCATCCCGTGCGAGCCGTACCGAGTTTGGCCTTGCCTAGCCCGACAGAAATCCGCTCTCTAGATATTACACACCGGCGCCGTATACGTGAGTAAATTGTTTCGTTATTTTATTGATTATAAGAAATCAATATTCAAAACGACCCAATTCATTTTCCCGAAAATTTGGGAACACAATAATTTTATTCTTAGTATTACACTACATCTATCCCAACTGATATACGTGTCCTTGCAAAAATGTTGATGACGTCATCACAATTTTTTTTTAAATTCCCACTACAAAAATGTAATGAGAAAAAAAAACATAATAGGCATGCAGTCCTCAAGTTTCTGACAGCGAGGGAAGTACTGTCTAAACTCTTTAGACCAATTTTTTCGTTCTAGTATGTTTGACGCGTCTAAGACTTAGACTACTTTGATTTTTTCCACTAAATTACTATGTGAAGGAGTCAAAGTCGTAAAACCACTATATTCCTTGGTACACTGTAAGAATATTTCAAAAGACAAACTTTTTTAATTACCTTTCATAAGAGTAAAGACAGATGTAGAAATCATTTAACTGAGGTACCACAAATCATTTGTGTTAGTAACTGCACAAACAAATGAGTGCGAATATAAAGAGAATCAGAATCACCCATCTGTACTGTAAGCTCAGTTGACATGTACCTTGTGAAAAGTTTATGACTTTAGCCAAACACTCGTATAAGTCAAACTTGCTACTGTAAATTGCAACCAAAAACAAGAAAAAGAAAATTGGTCTAAAGAGTTTAGACAGTACTTCCCTCGCTGTCGGAAACTTGACGACTGCATGCCTAGTGTGTTTTTTTTCTCATTACATTTTTGTAGTGGGAATTTAAAAAAAAATTGCGATGACGTCATCAACATTTTTGCAAGGACACGTATATCAGTTGGGATAGATGTAGTGTAATACTAAGAATAAAATTATTATATTCTCAAATTTTCGGGAAAATGAATTGGGTCGTTTTGAATATTGATTTGTAATAATCAATAAAATAACGAAACAATTTACTCACGTATACGTATCAGAGGCAACTGAAAATCGTGTATGTATAAACATTCTTAATTTAAGATGACAAGCGTAACAGCATACGTGAGAGTCAAACAGAGAAACTGTAAACAAAACGACCATCGGTTTTATTGCTTCGACTTCCGCTTATTATATAAAACATTGGGTTTTATTTTAATTCTTGACGGTGAAATTCACAATTGGTTGATTATAAACATGTCTATTTCACATTCGCGGAACCAAGTGAACGCATAAAACAAATGCAGGTCTGTAATGTTAAAGTCGATGTAAATAAGCGTGCTACCCTTATGTTTCAACCGAGTTTTTCCTTTAACAAATTTTGTGTCTACCAAATTGGGTTGGTTGGGGTGTAATACTAATAATAAGTGTTGCCTTTAATTTAATCAATAAAATAAATTGACTTCATTAATTTTTTTGAACCACCTCTTAAGAAAATCTAAAAAATATGAATGGAATGATAAATCACAAGTACAAACTCATCATATTTTTTGCATTTTAGATAGGATTTATTCAGCAAAATTTAAGGGTGACGTCATCAATTTTTTTAGGAGGGATGAACAAATACATTTTGAACAAAAGTTTACCATGCTTATAATAACTTTAAAATATTCCCAAGATTTCAAAGCATTCGGTTTTGTAATTCCTGATTAAATAGATAAAATAAATTCACGCCTTCATTAATTTTTTTGAGTCACCCTACATATGCAAATCCAAAAATATCAATGGAATGATAAATCACAAGTACAGACTCATCATATTTTGTACATTTTAGATAACATTTATTCGGCAAACTTTTGAGCTGACGTCATCAGTTTTTTGTAGAAGATAACCAAATATATTTTGACTAAAAATTTATTATGCTCTTTATAACCTTAAAACATCTGCAAGATTTCAAAGCATTCGGTTTTGTAGTTCCTGATTAAATCAATAAAATAAATTTACGCATTCATTAATTTTTTTGAGTCACCCTGTATATGCAAATCGAAAAAATTTGAATGGAATGATAAATCACAAGAAGAGACTCACCATATTTTGTACATTTTAGATAAGATTTATTCAGCAAAATTTTGTGGTGACGTCATAAATTTTTTAGGGGGGACGACCAAATACGTTTTGATCAAAAATTTACCATGCTTATGATAATTTTAAAATATCTTCAAGATTTCGAAGCATTCGGTTTTGTAGTTCCTGAGTAAATCAGTAAAATAAATTTACGCTTTCATTTATTTTCTTGAATCACCCTGTATATGCAAATCCAAAAAATATGAATGGAGTGATAGATCATAAGTACAGACTGATCATATTTTGTACATTTTAGATATGATTTATTCGGCAAATTTTCGAGCTGACGTCATCAAGTTTTTGGAGGGGATAAGCAAATATATTTTGACTAAACATTTATTATGCTCTTTATAACCTTAAAACATGTGCAAGATGTCAGAGCATTCCGTTTTGTAGTTCCTGATTAAATCAATAAAATATATTTACGCATTCATTAATTTTTTTGAGTCACTCTGTATATGCAAATCCAAAAAATATGAATGGAGTGATAAATGACAAGTACAGGCTCATCATATTTTGTACATTTTAGATATGATTTATTCGGCAAACTTTCGAGCTGACGTCATCAAGTTTTTGGAGGGGATAAGCAAATATATTTTGACTAAACATTTATTATGCTATTTATGACCTTAAAACATCTGCAAGATTTCAGAGCATTCGGTTTTGTAGTTCCTGATTAAATCAATAAAATATATTTACGCATTCATTAATTTTTTTGAGTCACCCTGTATATGCAAATCCAAAAAATATGAATGGAGTGATAGATCACAAGTACAGACTCATCATATTTTGTACATTTTAGATATGATTTATTCCACAAACTTTTGAGCTGACGTCATCAAGTTTTTGGAGGGGATAAGCAAATATTTTTTGACTAAAGATTTATGATGCTCTTTATAGCCTTAAAACATCTGCAACATTTCAAAGCATTCTGGTTAGCAGATTAAAAATTAAATTTCAAAATGTTGTTTTATAATTTTGATTTTTTTTCCAAAAATCTGGACGTTTCGGGTGAAAAGTCGATTCAGAGTTGTAAACTACATGTGTAGGACTATGTTATTTTATACAATTGAAAACCCATTTACTATGTACAATTTTGAAATGACGTCATCGCATTAGTGGTGGGGATGATTAGACAAATTTTGGTTAGCGTTTTACCATCTACATGATATTCTTAATATAAGTACAAAATTTCACAACAATCGGTCGAGTACTTTCGGAGATTATCTGTCTAATAAAAATCCGGAACGGCAGACGGACAGACAGACGGACGGACAGACGGACGGAGAGACGGACAGACAGACGGAAATGGGAGACCTATTTCTTCGTCTTCTAGGGGTCATGAAAGATCGAGAAAACGTAAAAGTAGAGAGTCGGCCGACGGACTCGATTACAATACTTCCTTTGCTTACGCTCGGGAAGTAAAAAGGTTGAACAGGCCTGGCGATAATTTTATTTTAATTTTAAACTCACTTTAACTAGTTATTTATATTTACTACAGTTTGATTTAAATTTACAAATGTTCATGTGTGTTTAAATATACCACATTCTTTTAGTTTTCAGTATGTACACTATATTCGATCCAGTTTTCTCTTTTAAATACTAACCTGTTTATATACGATCGATCACGGAGTCCACCCATTTTTATGGGCCCGAACCCCAAGAATTATTATTGTCCGTTATTGTCATAATATGTTTTACTAGGTACATGTCAACTGAGCTTACTGTAATACACGGTCATAAAAAAAAAGTGATGTAACTAGATTGTTGCTACTTACTCTAAGAAGTAAAACGTACAAAATATTTTTTAATTCCTTTATATACAGCGCAATCAACAAATACTGTTCGAGTTGACAAAAAATGATTGACGCAATGCCAGTTTTAAAGACTCAGCACAAGTTAGTTTAAGACATTTTAATAATATGTAGTTAAAAACAAATTTTGAGGCAAATTAAATGTCACTGTCTATTATGTTAGTTTTTACAGCCGGAAGTAATAAAATGTGGGCAAACAGGTCTACCAATTTCAAGCAAAATTTTTTGCTACCAACTGAAACAGTGACTGTTGATCAAACTGTATTATATAGTACACAATTATTGTTATTGGAAGATATAAATTTCATTTTTAAACAGAAATTTTAAAAACAATAGTTATTGCAAAACCGAAATAATATTTGTGACTTGTCTGTAGCTCTTGATTGAATTTGATCTTCCACAACTGGAGTCAAATCACCACTTTTTGATGTTAAGAGGAGTCGCTATGTTTGGCTTTTATGGTGTTAATATATTTTCAGAATGTAATTAACACACTTACTGATGTGATATACTTTTTTAAACGGTTTATTATCATTCATTTTTTAAATTTTGTAGAAATGTTTGCATCGCGTATTTTAAAAAATCAATATTTCAGTTATTTATGCAAATTTTGGAACGCGGTTTTTGACCACCGTTTTTAGCTTACAAAAATTTATAAACTGTACCAACTATACCACTTAAGATTATTTACAACAACATTGAACATCTGTAGACTGCAGTTTCGACCGCCTTAGGCCTCCTCAGTACAGCATATTTCAATGATTGTCAAACCGTGTTCCGAAATTTTCTTAAATAACTGAGATATTAATTTTTAAAAGTACGTTATGCAAAAATGTAACTAAAATTTAAAAAAAAGGATGATCAAAGTTGATTTTTCCAAATTTCATTTGCTTTAAAATTTTCTAGAACCTCCCCTCAACAAACCTAGAATACATCCTCCGCCTAGACTCGCTCTCCACGCCGTCGCTCTACTCCACTGACCCGCGGCCCCGTTACTCCGTTATCGAAACCGACTCCGACTACCCCCCCGCCTACGCCCGCTTGCGCCTCCACACCACCGCTATGAAAATTTGGGGAGATTGTGCCAACTCTGGCGGATATTTGCGACGGTAAACTCCCTTAATTTCGCAAACAAATATTTAAGCGGAACTATTGCAGCGATAAAGTCCAGGCCAAACTCGTGGAGCTGCTGGCGCAAGCCGCCGCCAGTGAAACCCCAAACTCGCCCTTAAACGTTGACGAATCAATTCATTGCGGAACACCGGGAAAAATACTAGACGCTAAAACCCTCCATCAAGTTTTAAGAATCCCCAGCGAACAACACGTTTTCTACGGCCCCGGAGGGAACGTACCCCGATTTCCGGATCCTAGGGACTTTCGATTAGCGATTGTGGACGAACCTGGCGGAGCGAGATTGAAAGTCGAGTTCTTGTCGCCGGCGCTGTCGAACGTGTGCGTGGATGTCAGGATACTTGTTGGGATAGGGGTCGAGTCGTGGCCTTCGACGACGGATTTTCCGGCGAGGGTGACGTTGGGACATACGGATTGTCTCCTGTATCATCAAGCTGCTCAGACGGTAAGTTGATCTTTTGCCACAAAATGTTGGTATCAGTGATGTAGATGGGTGTTAAATTCAACTCTAGAGGCTAGTAATTATGTAGTGGGGCTTCTGAATCAATGTTTGACCATTATTTCTGTAGGGAATGTACTTAGTGGGATATGGTGTACAGTCCTCCGCATGGCAAATCCGTCTACCAGCCGCCCAAGACCTAATTATCAACCACTACGGCCCCAACAGCACCGTTCGTACCATTCTAGACGTCCTTTTTGACTCTTTAGAAGAAATAGACAAAGTCAGACAAATGAAAAAGCAAGCGTCCTATAAGATTCTAAATCGTTACATATTCATGACCATGGTTCTGAACAGACTGGAAGGGTACTCCACAAATCCGTCAAACGATATTTTAGACTGGTCCCCAATGTATCTTTCCACACACGTTCTGAAAATTCTAGACAAAACAATGGAAGTCTTACATGCCCAAAAACTGTGTAATTACTTTTTCAAAAAATCAAACTTACTGGTAAATCCGGGACACTTGTGTGAAGATGACTACATTATCGAAGCCAATAATGTCAAATCGTATATAATTCGCCTGTTTGATGAATCACTAATGTCAACGAAAGGTAATCAAGAATTTAACAAGATGATGATATCGCAAGAGAGCGAAACTCTCCTTCTTCATAAGTGGAGAGATTTGATTGATAATCTTCAACCACCATCAAGTACTAGAGGAAGAAGGTTTTGTTTCGCTGGGTCAAAAAACAAGCAGGAAGTCGCCCATACCGAGTATACAGTTAGGCAGCTGGAGTATATAGGGTTACTTCTACAAAATCTTCTAGAAGTGAAACAGCTAATTCTAACCGTAAGTATCGTTAAATTCTGTTTGAGAATCTTAAAAAATAGAATTTATAGAACGATTCCTACATGGCTGAAGATTCCATAATTAAAATCGACACCAGCATTGAAGAAAACCATTTGGAGGACGTCATTTATCTGCTAGTCACTATTATGGACCAAGCTAGAGACATTTACTTAGCTAATCAAACTAATCCCACCACAGCAAAAACCCGTCCCAAAATCAAAGCACAATTCAACTGCTACACGTCCAAACTTATCGACACCATAAGAAAAGATAAAGATATGGCTAACTTAACCTTCGAGGACGACTTAAGTCTAGTTAAAGTGATACTTAAATGGCTTTATAAAGCTATGGACCAACATAAACGCTACTTAGCACCAATTTTGCGACCGTACTTACACACTCTTTTCACTACTTCACATTCGGTGTCGTGGCATTTGGAATTTATAAAGCAGAGAATGAACCGAGACGAGATAGAATCTTTAGGGTATTTTGCAAAATTAGTGAATTCAACCAAAATTACACCAGCTGAAGGGCTAATCGATGCGGTTAACAAGAACTGGGTGTGGGCCAAGTCCATGTTGAAGATGGTTGAAAAGAATACTTTAAGGGTCGTGTTTATTTCCAGTAGAGGGAAGGTTTATAGACACATTTTATCACTACCTTCGTACCAAAGACATAGATCTGCTGAAACTCTTCTAGAAGATACGGTTGAAACCAGAAAACAGCATACTTTGCCGGCAAATCGGAACTATTTTAGCACCATTGTGAACCAGAGTAAGTTCTTAGTTATAACAGCCCTTGGGTTTTATTGTATTAAGTTTAATTGTTTCAGAGTTTGGAGATGACTATCCAGAAGCCACTCCTCAACATGAAATCTTGAAAAACTCAAGTCCTTTAACTTTTCTTCTACGTGAAACTAACAGAAGGGGTCAACATAGAGGCTACGGTGACATACTTAAGTCATTGCAGTCCATGCAAAAGTTAAACGTGAGAACTTACTTAAGAAAATTCATAAACTTAACCCAAGTTTTAGATGTTCCAACAAGCAATGACTAACCTACCACTGGAGGATCGTTGTGAAATTATGGAAGTGGTACAAACTATGCAGTCGTTGAAGCAAAAAAGAACTAAACGGTGGTCTAACACGTTGCCTCAGTCTCACAGAGTGGCTCCAAAGTGTGAAAAATATACTCCCACTGAAGAAAGTGCGGGAGTAAAAATCGACAAAAGGAAAGTCCTGGATGCTAAGCAAATTGGTTCTTTGATTGGTAGCTGCAGAGCTGCAAGAATTCGAGAAGACAGTAGTGTTTTGCTTTTTCAAGATTCTTTTAAAATTAAGTCCTTGTTGAATAAAAGTGAATCATTTAAGTTTTAGTTGATTATGCCGTTCTTAAAATGCTTTGTTATTACAAAAATAAATAAATAATAAAATCTAAAATATATTTTTACATTCATAGTGTTATTGTCGTTTGAAAATCCAGTAGATACATTTTTAGAACACACGAAAAAGCCACAACTCGACTTAAACACGGCACGAAAACAACTGCTAAATCGAAACAACTCTATAATCTCCAGAGACGAATTTATACAATTCAATTCTCTTTGCAGGGTTTAGAGGTGATTACTCTGGAACGACTCTTCAACACGATATGCTGAAAAATTCAATTCCTTTGGCGCTCTTTTTGCCCGAAGCGAATCCAAAGGGTCAACACAAAGAGTATGATAATATTCTAAACCTTTATGTCAAAGCAAAAAGATTTTTTTATGTACATTTAAGTTCCATGAAGCAAACAGAAATGCTCGAAAGAATGAAATTAGTAAAACACATCAAGATCAAAGCGTGATGGGCTTTCAACCTAACGTAATTACTAGTTCGTGAACACGAAAATAGCGCATCAGAAAGCTCCGCAAATCAGTCGGAGAGAATCGGTAAACTGCTTCTTTAATTAGTAGCTGCGGGGTGGCAGAAGCTGGAAGGTCATGTGTCTTACTTCCTATCAGTTCGAAGACTAACCACCGAACTATTCTAAAGCTGAGAGCGCTTGTGTTTAACTAGTAAATGTATGGGATGAAATATGGTTTTGTCTCGCTTGTTCACTCTCTTTCCTCAAAAATCATTATTATATACATATTTTTTTTTCAAAAGTAATTCAATTTAAAACATGGAATTTTAGATTAGTGGTGGATACAAAATTCATATCACTGTAAGCAGTTATTATTACTACTATTATAAAAATAATAATAGCATTAATAGTGATGATAGTGATGACAATGAAGATTGTGTGTGTATAAGATTACTTAGTTGCATAGAATATCTCATAGCTTTAGCAAATAAACTGACACATATAGAAGCATAGGAACGCGGTTGAAATACAAATACTCCAGCAAGACAGACAGCGTACGTCTTCTCTGAAATTATTTTTAATTGCTGATAATTTTATGTAAACCTTATATTTGAAATACACATCCAAAAAGGCAAAAACTAGAAAATTTAAAGACTGCTTTCTTAGTTTGAGTTTGCGTCAATTTATTAATTGATGTGATTTTGACAACTCCCGAAGTTATTTGTCGCGCTTTCTGACTTGTTGTTACTTTATGGTGAAATAAGCTATACATTAAACACGCCGGAGAGGAAACTGGCGCCCGAGCAACCGTTCCTGCGGAAGGCGTGAGTCCCGTAGCTTGAAAGCGACTTTTTGGACTAGACCGGTCAGACGTGTTTTGGTCCAGGGCATGACACTGACGTACGCCACCACCACACTCGGAAATTAATGATAGAACGTACAACGTCCTTCCAGCAGGACTCCCAGTCCTCTCCGTCCTACCAGTTTAAATCGCTTATAAGAGAACTTTCTGTCCTGCTAGCAAGACTCTGTTATACATCCGGAAAAAACTGGATTTTTTTCCTGTTCAGGCATGCAAAAATCACGTTTCTGTGACAAAATTTACCAGTCATGGAGAAGATTTCGTTAGGTACGCGCGTAGCCATACGTGCTACCAAGTTTGATCCAAAAGACAGTGACAACTCGTGGAGTAGGTGCTATTTTGGTGATAATTTTTCGACAGCGTTATGTTGGGGGACAGTTACTGCTAAAAATAATGATAAAATATCAATAGTATGGGATATTGATAGCAAAACAACCAAAGTACGGTTTCAAGACCTGGACAAGATTGAAAAAGGTATGTAAATTATGCTTTCAATGTTATTGTTTTGTTACAATTCGCTAATAATAATAATTTAACTAAATTTTGCACACAATAATATAGATTAATAAAAAATTAAAAGAAAAATATGTATTTAAATTTTTAAATACATCAACACTAATTTTAAATTATTAATTAATATTTCTTTTTCTAACAGTACAAAGTTCACATGGTGATGGTGCCAGTACACCTCAGGTATCCTACGTCTAAATCTTATATTCATATTGTCTATTACTTACTAACACTTTATATGTATAAATTACTAACTTTTCTCATTTCTCTTAGTATTCAGGAGTATTCGTCTTTTGCAAAATATATATAATTTCTTTCATGTGCACTTCATACATAATGTTTTGCTTTTCGCGTGTCAATGGATCGAATCATAAAGTATATATAAATCGTAAATTTTCAACATAACACCTGAAAGAAATTTCTCAAAAAAGTACTGTATTAATAGATCTCTAATTCTTTGTAGACACGTTCTAATTTGTTTGCGACATGTTTGTTTTCTAAAACCTTTACAACTTATATTTTTGATTTCACAGGCTGGGCCTTCACGAAGTCGACGATATGAACTCTCAGACACATCTGACTCTTCATCAAGCTCTTCATCTTCTGATGAAGACGATTTGCCAACACAGAACGATACAATTCTGGCACACTCGACAAAATGGACGTTTACAGAAAATATAGAAAATGATGAATATAAAGAAGGTTATTATAAACCAAAATTAACCACAACTGATATGATGAATATGAGTGAACTCGATTATTTTGAATTATTTTTCCCTACAGAAAAACTCAATTTAATCTTACGCTACACTAATTTAAAATTGGCACAAGGCAGAAAACCAATCTCCAGACAAGAATTGTATAAATTTATAGGAATGTTACTGGCAATGAGTGTTAATACACTAACTCCAAGACGAAAGTACTGGAAAAATACAGATACTGGCGTATTTCCTCCCGCTGCATTTGGAAAACGATTTGGCTTAGGATTGCACCGGTTTGAAGAAATTATGCACGCGTTATCTTTTGCCAATCCCGACGAAGATGTTGGAGACGATAAATGGTTTCAGCCCCGGGCCTTAGTTAATTTCTTAAACGAAAAATGGCCAAGTATCATGACTGCTGGCTACAAGCTAACTTGCGACGAATCCATGTTTTCTTGGTATGGCAAAGGAGCACATCAAAATGGAATGCCGGCTGTTATAAAAATCAAAAGAAAACCTAAAGGCGTCGGTTGTGAAATGAAAACACTGGCTGACGCACAAACGCGCATTATGTTGCAGATGGAAATAAACGAAGGAAAAGACGCAATGCAAGAAAAAAGATGGCAAAGAGAATTGGGCGCGGGAACAGCTACCACCTTACGTCTCACTCAAAAATGGCATGGAACGAGCAGAATGATAATTGGAGATGCTTGGTTTGGATCAGTAAAAACTACTGTTGAGTTGAGAAAAAGGGGATTATATTTCTTAGGGATCGTCAAAGTCGCTACGACAAATTATCCTTCAAAAATAATAAAAAGCAAATGCCCTGAAGAAAAGGGAAGATATGCAACTGCTACCGCAGAAATTAACAACACAAAACTCATAGCTCTTGCTTGGAGAGATCGAAAAGTTCACACATTTATTGGTAGCTGTGGGACCACAATAGACGGGGAACCGTGTAAAAAACGAAGATTCGACGAAGAAGGCAATCTGTATTATAAATCAGTGAAACGCCCAAAACTGGTTGAAACATACTTTGATGGAGCCCCTGCGATTGACATTCACAACCACATACGTCAAAGTGGACTATCTTTAGAAACAGTATGGAATACACAAAATTGGGAGCACAGAATGTATGCTAGTTTATTTGGAATAATAGAAACGAATGCTTTTTTGGCATATAATTATTTTGCTTCTAAAAATATAGATCATCAAACTTTTACCGAAAATCTGGCCATACAATTAATCAATGGACCAACGGAAAAAAGAAATGTGGATAGACATCAGTCCCTTCCTCACGAATTAGATGTTTCCAATAATAATAATGATCCACATGTTTTAAAGCCGTTGAGTTCCACAAACCCAAATAAACAACGCATTCAAAGAAAATGTATTATTTGCTCCAGAATAAAAAAAGTGCAGCAAAAGGCATCATATTTTTGTGTACCTTGTGGAGAAAGGGCTGTAATGTGTAGTCCTCAGACAGGCAGAGACTGTTTTGTTTACCACATCCGAAATGGAATTCCTGCTTAAAAAAGCCTTTTGTTATACAATTTATTTTATTACAATATGCAAAAATAGTGTTGATTTCTTACATTTCTGATAATAAAGTTTATTTTTAAATGTGAATTTGTTTTTTTTTAAGGATATTATATTATTATAAATCCATGTATTTATTAAAATAACTTTCCCCGCCGCCTCTGGTCAATTTGCGCGCCGTACCATGTGACCAACATCAGAACGTAAGTCCTGCCGGAAGGACAGGGCACCTAATTTTACGTCCTTCTGGCAGGACCGGACCCTGTTGCACAAAAGTACTTCTTGAAGCGCTTCCAGCAGGACAAATCGTTGTACGTTCTATCATTAAAGGCGACAATATTAAAAAAAAGGTAATGCAAAAATATCAAACCAATATTTAATAAAGTTTGCTATCATTAGTATTAGTGATGTGGAAAAGAAAGAAAACGTTTTAATTGTGAAGTTGACAGCCACAAAAACGTCTACACGTGTTTTTACGGTGGTAGATACAGAAAATGGAATTTCTTTCTGAATTTATTTATCGAAATTATAACATTAACGAAGCGTTCAAGTTGTTAAATGGAACAACTTCTCAAAAATTTTAATGAAAGCGGCATCGTATCTAGATTTGGAAAATCTCAAACAGTATCAGGAGATCTTCAGGCAAAAATAAAATTTAAATTGCTAAGAAAATTAGTAGAAGAAATACTCATATTTTATCCGATGATCCGATATGTAATATGATTTCTTTAAATAATGCACATTGTAATATTTCTTCTATTTGTAACAGGAAATATTAATGTTAGTATTTTTAATAAATAATTTATTTTTGGAAATATATAGCGTTGTTACAGCATTTGAGGTGAATGTTAAGGGTATCTTAAATTCGAGGTGAATGTTAAAGACACCTTGACATGCATGCCTGGCATACATATTAAGGGAGTTTAACGTGCAA